CCCTTAACAAGAACCCAGTAAACCCTTACCCAGGCTTGCTGACGGAAGATGGATTGTCGCAAGTGTCGACGTTGAAATCTCGGACTGCGAGTCTCGCCACCTCCTCGGCGACCTCGGAAGCTTCCTTGCAGTACGGTTTGGGGTTTAGGCTTTGGGGTTGAGGGGTTTAGGAGTTTAGGAATTTAGGGGTTTGGGGTTTAGGGTTCGGGGTCTAGGCCTTAGGGTTTAGGGTTTAGGGTTTAGGGGTTTAGGGCTTTGGGGTTTAGGCTTTGGGGTTTAGGGTTTAGGGGTTAAGGGGTTAGGGGTTTAGGGTTTACGGTTAGGGGTTTAGGGGTTAGGGGTGAGGGGTTAGGGATTTAGGCTTTAGGGTGTCGGATGTAGGGCTTCGGGTTAGGGGCTGCAGGGTTCAGGGTCTGTCATGGTTCAGGTTTAGCCTTCCCAGAATCACCAGCGAAGCACCACAATCCTTGTTTTTTGGAAGGGGTGGGCTTTAGGGGTTTAGAGTTTTGGGTTTAGGGTGGGTGTTAGGATTTAGCTTACAGGGTTTACTTCAGTCTCCAGAAGCTGGTTGTACGGGTCGTTTGCCGCCAAACACGGGGTTTCTGTTGGTGACGCTCTGGGAGGGTAGAATTGACAGTTTCAACGTGGAAACGACAGCAGTCTTTGGACTTTCCAGGATCGGGTCCTGGCACGTTGGGACTTCAGCGCCCGTCTTCGAGTGTCTTTGGAGCTTTGAAGGAGTGGGGACTTGTGCTGTTGGGTGCAGGATTGACAAGGATTCTGGGTGTCGTATCGTCTTTTGCTGTCGAGACGTGTGACATGGGGGCAAATGGTCGAAATACTGAACTCAAATCAGAATGCCTTATGATTGACGCACCTCGAATCCTTGAGAGTGGGATGTTTTGGCTGGCTTGGCTTGTGCTTTTGTGCAACATTCAAACCCGGTTGATGCTTTACAAGTAGGTAGGGTTACAATCACCAAGACAGCAGCCCATCCTGGAATGCTTCCTCGCTTCCATGTAGTTTGTTGAGAGGACGGAAAATTGCGTAGTTATTGCTATGATAAGGATCCGACACAGCCCCTCAACCCAAACCCAAGACCCCTAACCCCTAAAACCTACACCGTAAACCCCGAACCCTAAACCCCTTAAACCCAATGCAGCGGAGGTCACGATACTGCAGAGACGAATGCTGCGAGCCCTGAGCATACCGCTGCCGAGTTGGAGGTCGACCTTAAAGGACAATGTTTGGGGTTTTAGGGTTTTTGGGGGCTCTTGAAGACAAAGGTTCTAGCCGATAAGGCTATAGTCGCCTTCCTATGTTGATTTTGAAGGGCTCTTACGAGGGTATCTGGACTTCTGCTTGGGGCTGTAGGGTGCAGGGCCAAAGTTTAGGGTGCAGGGTTTCGTAGGGTTTCGGGCTCCAGATTTTAAGGTTTAGGGTTTATAACTACCGCGTTCTAAAGAGTTGTGTAGTTGGGTTAATGGCCTATATCATTGGCTCCCAGTTCCTTGCAGCTCCTGTGTACAGTGCTCTCCCTCTACCCTAAACCGTATGCAGCTCGGTGACTCGGGAAGTCTTGGGTTCGCGGTGTGGGGGTTGACAGGACAGCACAGAGTACAAAACCCTAAACCCCTAAACCCTAAACCCTGATGCCCTTTCGATTTCGTACGTCGTTCGACAAAACGGGGGTTTTATGAGGATCACGAGGGGGTATCCCAGGGGATACCAAGTCGCCTTAGCAAGTCAAGCTAGGGCCTGAATCCCCATCCTACCATCGCATCACAGACGGGTTTAGGGTTTAGGGTTTAGGGTTTAGGATTTAGGGTTTAGGGTTTATAAGGGTTTAGGGAACATCACGTCCCATTTTGTCTCGCAGCCTCAAGCGCATTGCCCAAGCCCGAAAGTGCCGAAAGAGGATCAACACCAGCTCCCGCGGGACATGTAACGACCGCGCAACGCCAGAGTGAAAGAAGCTTCCTTTGGGCTGGGGGTTCGGGTTTAGGGTTTAGGGTTTAGGGTTTAGGGTTTGGGGTTTGGGGGGTTTAGGGTTTGAACCCGAAACCCTAAACCCTAAACCCCTAAACCCGGGGGTTAAGGCGGCTGGGGCCGGGGTGTGAGATTGTAGGATTTTGGGACATGTGTTTCTCGGGATCGGTCAGGCAGCTCATAGCCACAAATTCCCGAGTTGCCGGATTTGGCTTTTTACGGTTAGGGTTTAGGGTTTAGGGTTTAGGGTTTAGGCCATCTTCCGCAATCCTTTCATCCGTACGCATCATGGGCCCTCGCCCAATGATGCTATGAATGCCAATGACGCCCTCAACCTTGACTCCACTGATAGAGCGAAACCGATAAACTCCAAAACCCATTATGGAGTATACCTTAAATCATAATAAAACTCCCTCTTGGCATATTCAGAATATTCCCTAAGCAAGGGGTTTTGGAGTCTCTGGGAAACCGATAGACTCATCACAACATGTCTACCCGACTTCCCTGAATGCGAAAGCACAGCGTGTGGTCCAAAAGTCAGGCTTGGTTGGGTCAGTTCGGGCGTGACCGGGTTCAGGCTCTAGGGCTTTAGGGTTGAACTTACCTAAACACCCAAAGGTAGGTAAAATAATGGCCCAAAACCTCTTAAAGGCTAGTACTCTACAGACCAAAGTCCAGGTACTGTTTGGTCCCGGTGATAAGGATGCGAATTGGGGCTTCGACTTTGAGGCTTGCGGGGTTCATCTTTTATAGAACCTCGGGTGTTGGATCTAGGACTTCTAGTTGTCAGCTCGCGTTTTTGGCAGACCGCTGGACTCAACAGAGTAAACCCTAAACCCTAAACCCTAAACCCTAAACCCTTGACTTGAGGCTCGCTGGAAGAGCACCAAAGCAACCACGACAGGAGTATTCTGGGGCTTCGCCCCCATTCCTTAAGCCCTGAACCCTACACCCGAAACCCTAAACCCTAAACCCTAAACCCTGAACCCTAAACCCGAAACCAAAACCCTAAATAGTTTTCGGGCCATGGGTCTCCCACACCTTTGCTGCAACTTGCTGGAGAAGGGCAGAATAACAAAAGGAGTCCAACAACATTTGATGGCACCTCAAATACAAGGGCCTGAATATTTTCTTGTGGGCTCCTTAATATCTTGATGCGTATCTATATATATATATACAGACATAGCCTACAATCCTCTTCTAATTATAGAAGCCCCTGTATGGACGCCTGTAAAATCCTGAAAGCTTAGAAAAAAGCGTATCAAGCCCTGTAGACTGAAGACAGGCTTACTCCGATCATTATACAGGGCCCCTGTGTTAGACTGCTGTTCCCAAACCCAAAACCCTAAACCCTAAACCCTTGTTTTCAGGCATGTTGTGGTTCCGAACATCCTGGGCAGCTCGTCTGCCTTTGGGTCACGGCCGGAAGCGGGTGTTCACGGGGTTTAGTGTTACAAGGAGCCTAGAGAGTTCCCAATACTCTTCCTTAAACGGTTGTCCTACAAAAAAATGCCGAGGCCGCTCCGTAGACCGCCGTCATCATGATAGACTTGAGCATCTAAACCCAAAACCCTAAACCATTTAAGCCCTAAGCCGAACCCTAAACCCCAGAACCCCAAGCCCCTGACCCCCTGAAACCAAAAAACCCTAGCGCCCTGAAACCCCAAAGCCCTAAATCCTGCACCCTGGAGGCCTCAGCCCCTCAACCCTAAGCTCTGAAACCCCAGACTCCAGAGCCCTAAGCCCTACAACCCTCAGCCCCTAAACCCCTGAACCCCTAAACCCTAAGCCCGAAACCCTAAACCCAAAGCCCTGAACCCTGCAGCTCTAACCTAAACCCTACAGCTCTAAGACCGAAACCCCTGAACCCCTAAACCCTAAACCCGAGAGCCCGGATCCCCCAAGCCCTAAATCCCGAAGCCTGAAACCTAGGCATCCACTTCGACAACTTCGGCTACCAGGGAAGCTCTGGTCTGGGGGTGCGCCGGGCTCAGCGAACCGGTTTAGGGTTTAGGGTTCAGGGTTTAGGTTTTCGGGTTCAGGGTTTAGGGTTTCGCGTTTAATGTAGGGGCGTTGGACTGGGATTTTGGATTTTGGGCTCCGTTTTGTGGAACCTATATGAAGATGCCCTGTGGATAATGTTGGCAACTACTTAGGCTTCTATATCAGGGTTTCAGGTTTGGGTTCAGGGTTTGAGGCCTCGGCTTGGGCCTTCTTTTGGCCTAGGGGCCTTGGGGTTACCACAGGGTTTCTATCCGGCTTGCAAGAGGTTTTGTGAGGCTTTCTTCCAGATTTTATGGTTTTTGTTCCAAGATCTTTGGGGCTTTAGGGTTTGGGTAGCGCTTTCGTGTTCGGGGTTTTGGATCTAGGGTCCTGGGGCTATAGGGCTTCAGGCTTGGAGTTTTGGACTGAATTTCAGGGCTCGTAGTTGAACACTCTTTCACCTGAGTAGCTTCGGTTGGCAAGAGGACCTTATATGTTTGGGTGCTATGCCAACCTAGTTCTGAAGTTACCAAAAAGACGATCGGGGTCATGTACTGTGCGACCTTATCCTGGCAAGCCACAACCCAGGTAGGCAGCGATGAAGACAGCCATCACACCGGCCCGTGTCGCACGAGCTCGGTTGAGACATGCCTTCCCTGCATCCCCTCATCCGCACCCCAAAGCCCTCCGCCATGCCCGGCAGAGGCCAGACATCCGACGGTGCGTTTTGGATGTTAATTTCTCGAAGAGCCTCCGTCAATCTATGTAGGGGTTTAGGGTGGAGGTGTACGGGAAGCAGCGAGGCCCGATGACAGGCTTGGGAACTTCTTGGAACAGATCTCCCTGAAACTTCTCAACAAAAAGTCAGTGTTTCTTGGTTTAGTGCCAGCTTAGGGTGTAGGCCCAAAGCCCTAAACCCGTGAAGAGCTTAACAGAGGCTCAGCTTCACCTGGACGTTGGGGTGCGCTGGCTGCAAGAGTTGCAGAGTCAGTCGGCAATTTCGGAGATCCTATCCTAATTCCTTAAATAAGATTGGGATCTATAGACCGTCTATAGGTCCCTTTCTGCATAGCGGCACAGCGCTTCACAGGCTTTTCAGACGGTTTTGAGAGGCTTTAGGGTTTAGACAAGATGAAGGGCGTTGCTTGGCGGCACGACTCTGCTGATACGACCCGTACGAAGGTGTCACCAGAGGGTTTAGGGTTCAGGGTTTAGGATTTAGGGTTTGGGGGCTTTCAGTGCGAACCTCTTTCCCCCATCTGTCTTAAACTGCTGCTGCTCTTGCCCGATCCTGCCGTGAGTAACTCCCAGCCCTAAGACTGCTGTGACTTCTCGGGAAAAACCTTTCAGGCTCTTGGGGAGTGTCTTTTGTGTCGTTGGTCGTGTGGTTTGTGGTTTCTGATACAGGGATCTATAAACTATGTCTGCTTACTGAGGGGAGCCGAGAAAGCTCTTGTGTATGAAGATGCATGGAGTCGAATTTTGGGGCCTGGATAATGAGGTGGTATTCTTCGTGCAGCAAGGGCCCATCAGGCCATAATCCACTCATTGAGGCCTCCATATTACATGGACATGACAGATGAAAGCAGAAAGGAAGGTCGTATAGAGCATCTGCAATTACCAATCTTAGTCCATAGGCTTCCTGAATCTTGCTATGCTTTATCCATAGGACCCGAAGCCCAATTTTTATTATCATGCCTCCATGCCCCATGTTACTTCTCGTGTCTGCAGCTGTCCGATGAAACAGAAGTTTACCGTATTGAGGGCCCCTCAGCAGCTATCCAGTAAAGTGCTACGGGGGCAAACGCATCCCTAACGGCATCCTGCGGCCAGGACTCCAGAAAGGGACGCTCTGGGGGTCCAGTTTTCCAATAGTTTTTTTTTGGTGGTGGCCTGCACCCTAAGTCCCAAGCCCCGATAAATCCGTGTGTGTAAAGACACTATCAAACCCTGATCAAGCATCAAACCCCTGTATCTAAAACCGTGCCAGCGACCCAAAAAACCTGACTCATCTCCACCAGCTCAGTCAGCGACCGCTGCCGACCGCAAGCGACGGCAGCGAGATCAAAAAGTCCCCCATCATGGCGGGAGGCGCGGAGACGGAATGGGTGAGCATACGCACATGTCATTATTAGTATTCCTTATTACTATCAACGTTCATAGTGTAGTATGTATGTCGTCTTTTGCCGCTTGTTGCTTCCATTGCTGTTGCTGTAGTTCTTACTGTTTCTTTAGGCGTGTGGGTCACTGCCCACACATGCTACCACGGGTGGGGAAAGCACCCCCCCCTCCCCTCCAAACCACCATGGGGGCAGGAGAAACCCTAAACCCTAAACCCTAAACCCTAAATCTTAAACCGCAAAGACCGCAAGCAGACCCAAACCCTGAACAGACCGAACCACAAGGAGAGGGGGAGTTTAGGAATCAACGTGGTGGAGTGAGGGCGCGGCCAGCCGAAGTGGTACAGTTCAATAAAAACAAACAAATACATAGATAAATATATCTATATCTATATATATATATATACGTATTAGTAGCATTTGTTTATTAAATGTATACTTATCACTGAAGATATTATATGGTTTTGTGTACATACAAACCTACATGCATGGGGTCGTGTCTCTTGATATGAAGTTCTTGGGGTGTGGCCCTACTGCTGCAGGCCCAGGAATCCTGACCCCCTCAACCCTGAACCTTAGACCGTAAGCCCCCAACCCCAAAACCCTCAACCCTATTCTATGTTCCACCAATTGCCCATGATCAGTCCTGACCTCGAGTGCCCAAGACGCTGGATCCGCAGGGCCTAACCAGGGTCTAGGGTGAAATCTAAACTTGCATCCCTAAATCCTGGATCTCAACTTAAACTACTATACCCTACTTATTTGCACAGTCCTACTGAACATACGTTTGCAGAATGGAGCATTTCAACATAGTTCCTACTATAATAATATGGGAGTTTCTGAAAATTAGGGGTACCTTATTTTGGGGTCCTTATAATAAGGATCCTACTATTTAGGGTACTATATTAGGGTCCCCCATTTTCGGAAACTCCCATATGTACACCCTAAAAAACTTGTTTTTTGCTTGTGATTTGGTCCCGCCTAAACCCTGAAGCCCGAGAGAGGCCTCTTCGCGGCGGAGAAAGCCTTCTTCATGAAGCTCGGAGGCGCAGAGCGTCCTGCGGTGCTTGGGTTTAGGGCTTATAGGGTTTAGTATGTTAAGGGTTTAGGGTTTCTTAGGGCTTGGGGCTTTGGGTTTAGGGTTAGTTTTTGGTTTAGGATGCGAGGGTTTGTGTGCGAGGGTCGTTTCATGTCAGAGTCTTCACGAAGACTTGAGACGAGCAGGCAGTTTACAGGTTATACAGCTCCGTATATACATAGGTGGTTGTCAAAATTATGGTTCCTGTTTTGGGTCCTGGTTATAATACGGCACCTATTATTTAGGGCCAAAAAGGGACCATAATTTTGACAACTACCCACATAGTTATATGGGTTTGCTTTTGGAAGGCGTGGTCATGACAGTGCTAAGCCGGGCTCAGTGTGGAGACCTGCTGGAACACACAGCAGGCACGAATCTTCTGGGATGAGGCATGGGCTCTTTCTTCTTGCTCCTTTTCCTTTGGTCCCATTCATTTGGCTGAGAAGAGCCCGTGCCTCCGTTCCTGACAGAAGCAGATGTGAACTCGACACACTCCACTGGGAGCCGCGTGGATGTGGAGTCGCGTTGCGAGCTTGAAGATGATGCAGGGCATGCTTCAGAATGGAGACTGCTCCACCCTAAGAGGGCCGGGTAGTGTCGCAGCTAGAATCATGTCATTGATGCGCGTGCCAGTTATCTAGGGCATGCTTCGTGAGGCATATGAATCAGACCCTGCCAAGACGGGTGAAACCGGAGGCGCTGACGGTTTCATAGAGGTTGTTGAGGGCTGGGCCTTCACGCGAGCCGTCCTACCTGCCATCAGTGTGTGCAATGCGCCTGCTGCCGAGACGTTAGTCCGCAATATGGGCAACATTAGATTTGATGCAGCCCTGAATGCAGCGGAGTCCACCTATGCTTGCTTGGGTATGCAAGTGCAGTGATGTCAACGCCATGGTGGGTCCCTGGCGAACAAGTCAGGCTCTGTGGCAACCTTGTGTGGATCCGGCAACAACTACGACTACGACTGATCCGGTAGATACCAGTGCCTGACACGAAATCTTGCCGGTACTCACACAGCTGTTGGTTTTCTCCTTGTCTATAGGGCCACCACTGCTGAAACTTTCAAAGGTTTGCAAGAGGAGCAGGCTATGACTGATGAATCCTTGACTAGGACTAGGAAAAGTAAAACCCCTACTTGTACCAGATTTGCTGATTCATGCAGAGGCGGCTTGGAAGAGGTGCCAGCAAGGCTTGTTCGGCCTCAACTGATCTGCGAAGGCAGACAAGACCTTGAAGCGGCGAGCCTGCTGCAAACCCCATGAGATGTGTTGCACACCTCCAAGGAACGATTTCAGTAGCACAGGTGCTGCCAGCAGCAGCCTCAAAAGTAGTAGGGTATTGGGTTGTGACATGCCGCATCGCTCTAGCCCCTGACCTCCAGGCTACGATCCCGAGATGAAGTTCTACGGCGGTGAGGACTTCTTTCGACGTGTACAGCGCTCTGTTGCCCTGGGTTTTGTGGGTTACGTGGATGCTCATCCCAAGTGTCTCTGGTCTAAAGGGCTGAAGTCTCGACGATGATGATGGGTAATTAATTGTCTGTTTATTCTGCTTAACTCGGTCAACTCCAACCTACTATTACCGGACCCTACATACTTGCACGGCGAACTGCAGACATGTCCTCCTAAACGTCGTGAAAAAGCGGCTTGTGCAGCGCGTCTGATCTGGAAGTCTAATGTTTAGGGTTTGGTATGAGGGTCTTCATAATTTGAAGCGGGTTGTGGGGGCTCCTTATGATCGTTATGGTATCATATACCCCTAAACCCTATTCTAATTAATAAGGCCCCTATATTGGAGCTTTCGTATGTAGGCCTGTCGAAGCTAGCAGATTCGAAATCGTTTTGGATCGGGAAGCTGCCGGTGTTGTGCCCTTGTGCTGCCAAGCCGCCAAAGCCGTGAACCTGAAAGCTTAAACCCTGAAGTCCCTGAGCCGTAAAGTTCCTTATCTTAAATTTTGCATCTCATTCCTTTTTATGTGAAAGCCCTTTGAAGAAACAAAAGACGCCCAAAAAGTAAGCTACTTCAACTTGGGAGTTGCAGGAGATGGAAATCGGGTTTCGCACTTGGCAGCGGGGAGCCCAAGTCCGTACCCATAGGCCCCATAGTAGTTCCTTTTTGGGATTACCTAATAGGATCCTAAATATAAGCCACAATGGGGCCTAGGGTAGAGACCAGCAAGAGAGAGGGGGGTTTCCGAAAATAGGGACCCTAATATAGTACCCTAAATATATAATAGGATGCTTATTATCAGGACCCCAAATAAGGTACCCCTTATTTTCGGAAACTCCCTTTTGGTCTTTCGGTTCACAGCCACATTTTGCAGTTCAGGGTTTAGGGTTTTTGGGTCTTCGGACCCTGATTCTTACGGACAGTGCGTGTCTGTGACAAGCAAGATCGTTGTGTCTCCAGACTGGGCTCGGCCGAGCATTTCATTCGGCCCGCAATCAGTATGGCGAAATCCCCTTACAGCAGAGTCTGTTAGAAGAACTCCAAAGTATACACATCCAGGTTAGGTCGTACTCCGGTTCTTGGCTGTGGTCACAAGTCCATTGATAAGCTCGTTTTTTGAAGAAATCTTCCTCAGAACTAGTTCTTCAGGCAACAACCCTCAACAAACTTGCTATGGAGGCTTGCACCCGCTGGGAGTCCCACGCTTTTCCTTGGAAGGCCTTCTTATTCTTCCCCAAATGTCTCGGATTTGCCGTCGTGCCCAAAGCGCTGATTCTGATTTTCTAAGCCACTGAGTCTTTAACCGAATTGCAGGCAGTCGACCCCTTCATCTGAAAGAGTCAGAGGGTTAGTGCGCCAGTGAGCCTGAATAACCTGTACTTGTTCTGTAGGGATCCCTGTGACCAGGATACTTGGATTTCTGGCAGGACCAGGTTAAAGCAGTTTCTGGCACCTCTTAAGTTTTAAAGTCTCCAACGGCAGCCGAAGATTGCATGCCCGTTTCTTTCGCCGCCGCTGCTGCTTCTTCCCTCAAAACCAGGGCTTAGCCCAGACAACGTGCAGACGCCCATCGCGGCGTATGGAGGCGATCGGGTTGCGGTGCTGCGGGGTGCGTTGCTGCAGCTGCTATGGTGGCGTCGTCTGCTGCTACTGCTACTACTACTCCTGCTGCCACTGCTGTACTGCTGTTGCCACTGCCACTGCTTCTGCATAAACGACACTATGTATTACTAGCGGGAAAGACAGTACAGTACTCAGTAATATAGGGGCATTAATAGTTAGAGTCGGGTTTGGGGTATGCTATACCATAATTGTAAGAAGAATCCCTCTTGAGGCCACATCGTCTCGAGACTCGAACCACCGAGGCCCCGAACCACTGCGCCCTAAACGCACACAAAGTCCCTGAACCTCGCCACCTGACCCCGAAAGCCGTCTTCAAGGTCTTCCCAACATGCTCACCCCTAGCAAACGTGCGAGTTTATAGGGTTGAGGGCTTACACCCAAGATCGAAATCTTCGAACCGATAGCCCCGCATCCGAACGTGATATAGGTTAGGGGCCTAAAGAATAACCCCCGTTATTTTGGGTGGTTCCTTATTTTAATTATAGCATAATGGGCCCCAAAACCCTATTCTAAATATTAAGGCCCCTATATTACCTCTCGCTTCGCGACTCTCCCCTTCCAGGCGCAGAGGACAGATGGGCCAGGGCATCTCAGCACGCCGGCGGCAATTTGTGGGGCTGTCGGAGCTATCGGGTTTAACGGTTGAGGGGTTTCCGAAGTTTGGGGTTGGCAATGACTAGTAAGGGTTTGAGGCTTTCAAGCTTATGGCGTGCTGGAGTTCACAGAAGTTGACGCGACTGCTAGTGACCCGCAACTGAAAATGTCAGTAATGGCGATGATGATGACAAGGGAGGACGATAGCAAAGCCAACTTCCATGATGGTCCTGACGATGATGATGATAATTACTGATGGTGACGATGATGATGATGATGACGACGATGATGGCGAGGATGATGAGGCTGCGTTTAGCTATAGGCATGAACAGTGCGACGATGCTGTTACCTGCTCCTGCTGCACCGATGATGGGGCTGGAGGGCCTATGCTCTGAGTCCATAGAGTCTAGATGACCGGTGTATCGCGTATGCGACAGTGGCTTGTGATGACGACTATGATGCCACTGACGGTACCAAGATGATAGAATTGCGATCGTGTTCTTGATGATGACGATGCTGCTATTGTACACGTGCATCAAGCTTCTCTTGGAACGGTGGGCTTCAGAGTTCAGACCGTAGTGGCTCTGCATCTGTGACAGGTGTCAATTTGCAACTACTCCCTTCCTGAATTGATTCCAAAGCAGTCAAGCAGACTGAACTTGAGCAAGAAGTTAAGGGTGCAGAGCTTGACCGGAAGGTCCATGAAATGCTCAACTCCATGAAAAATCTTCTGGCAAGCCAATGAATTCGAGGACTACCCATTTTTTCTCGCAGGTCTTATTATTGAAGCTCTTCACGACCCTGGACAACTACCCTTGCAGTAGGTTTGTAGCTCTTTGAAGCCAGCCACATGTACACGAACATGAGCCTTCAAGCAGGACGTAGGGTTTGGGTGGTATTAGCGATGCGGCGATGCAGATTTCCGCTCTGGTTGCCGAGGATGCTTTGTTTGGGGACCCGCCGCAGCTATGCCTCTTGCTACAAACTTTGTCATGTAGGGCGTTTCTTCGCGATTTCTTGTAGACTTGTAGAGCATTTGCGTAAACTGGACAGTCCTAAAGCCCGGAACCGGACACCATCAAGCCTTGAACCTTCCCCTAAGGGTCGAAAGGACCCAATAACTAGGTACTGAGGTTTCGGATAGTAGTTATGTAGGTTACTGTTTGGGGGAGTGTATGATTATTAGGTACTTGGACCCCTAGGGTTCGTCCATCAGCAGCCCATGCCAACACCCCATGTGCTTGAGTCACCGAGGGCCCCCTGTTAATGGGTCTACGATTTAGGGCTTAGGGTAAAATACAA